ACTCTATCTGGGTCATTGTGGACATATTGACGAAGTCTGCCCATTTTCTTCCAGTGAAGGTGAGCTTCACTACTGAGCAGTTGACCAGACTTTATGTTCGCGAGATCGTGAGAATTCACGGGGTGCCCGAGAGTATCATCAGGGATAGGGACTCGAAGTTCACATCTCGGTTCTGGGAGGCGCTGCAAGAAGCTTTTGGTACTCAGTTGAGATTGAGTACAGCCTATCACCCTCAGACTGACGGACAGACTGAGCGGACCATCCAGACCTTGGAGGACATGTTGAGGGCTTGCATATTGGAGCAGGGTTCAGCATGGGATAGGTACCTGCCATTGGTGGAGTTTTCATACAACAACAGTTTCCATGCTAGCCTGGGCATGGCACCCTACGAGGCGTTGTATGGTATGAGGTGTCGGACTCCTACCTGCTGGCCTGAGGTTCGATATAAGGAGTTGTTTGGCTTGGACTTTGTCCAAGATACCACCCAGCAGATCCAGATGATCAGAAAGAAACTGAAGCAGGCGCAGAATCGCCAGAAGAGCTACTACGATGTCAAGCATCGTCCACTGGAGTTCAGTGAGGGTGCCATGCCAGAGACTTTCACCTGTCACCGGTGTTGGTCGGGCCCTCGGAGTGAAGAAGTTGAGCCTGAGATTCATTGGGCCATACCAGATCCTTGATAGAGTAGGACCTGTTGCCTACCGGCTTGCCTTGCCTCTGAACTTGGCCAACATCCACAATGTGTTTCACATGTCTCAGCTTCGGAAGTACATAGCAAATCCTTCGCACGTGGTGCAACCGGATGATGTGGAAGTTCGGGAGAACTTGAAAACTCCCGTCGAACCACTCAAGATTCTCGATCGTGGCGAGAAAAAGCTAAGTAGCAAGATCATTCTGATGGTCAAAGTGCAGTGGTCTTGAAGAACTCCTGAGGAGTGCACTTGGGAGCGAGAGGACAAGCTTCCCCGGCAGTACCCCGAATTTCGGGACACGTATGTTTCTGATTTTGAGGACAAAATCCTAAAAAGGTGGGGTGAATGTAAGAACCTGCACCGTTAATTTAGGAAATTAATTATATAAATGTGAAATTAAGAAATAATTCCATAATTGACCATAATAAGTATGAGAAGGCTTACATAATCATAGTAAGTGATTAATAATGCTGAAAGTCGCTTTTCTGACGAAAAGTGCAGATCTCGGTTCTGCTCCTCAGTATAAATGCGTACCGATGAAGTATCCCGAAAAATTATAATAAGTATGGGAATATTCCTAGAATAATATATAGCATTGGTAAAACAAGTTTCAGGTCGAAATAATGAAAACTGGTGCCAGAACCGATACTGGCAATGTAAAAGCGCGTACCGAAAAGGTGCTGCAAAAAATAAAATAAAAATATGAAAAATCTTAGAAAAATGAGTAAGTTCATAATCTAGAGTTTGGAATTAAAATGTTAAGCGTAGCTATTGGTGCTAATACAGTGTGATTAATCTTAAACCGCCTATAAATAGAAGGTTTCACACAACCCTAGACTGATACTCAGCCATTTCTACGTGGGTTGCTCCTTGTGGCTGCTGCCATTGTCTTTCTTCACCATTTCTTGACCTTCCAAGGGGCTTTTCTTCATACTTCCTTCACAAAAACTCCATAACTAAGTGTGATAAAGCTTTGTGTGGGAGGAAAATGAGGTCTTGAGGGTGTGAGTGAGTTATGCTTTCTGAGTTTGGGGGTTGCCTCTTGTTTGAGTGTTGTGGAGACTTTGTTCCTAGCTTGTGTGGCTTCAAGGAGCCATCTTTGTTTGGAAAAGACCTTGCTTTGTTGTCATTTTCGTTCTTTGCGAAGTCAGAACTGTAGGGGCTTGGTGGTGAGCTCCAAGAGCACCATTGTTTCTGTTCCAAGCCTTGGTGGTAAGCACCACCATCTTTGCCTTTGGTTTCTTTAGAAAGAATGAACCTTGATGCATGTAATGATCAAAAGATAATAACTTAAGGTTGGGTAAGGTTAAACACACCTAGAAATGCATGTTTAAGCTTCTGGACTCGTTAAAAGAGCTACTTTTGGGAAGGATATCTCGCGAAATGCAGAACTGCATTTTGTCGCGAAATATCCGGATATGATATCTGGATATGGGGTCTTGTGATATCCGGATATGCCCCCGACATATATCAGGATATTCTGGGTTTTGGAGGACAGTAGTTGTATTGTTCATACATAATGATATTTTGGGTTTGTGGACCCATGATTAGTTGATGTGGACTTCTGTAATAATTAACTAAGTCAGAATCTAAGTGATTAAGGACTTATGGCTTTGTGAGAAGCCTAGAGACATGAAACGTAAGAGGAAAGCGTGTCTTTATGTTGTATGCTGGTAAAGTGTGATTGTTGATATTTACAAAAAAAAAAAAAAAAAAAAAAAGTGTGATTGTTGATATGATTGCTGGTCTAAAACAGATTGTGATTCTGCTGTTTGTGGACTTTGATCTTGTGTGGACTTGGCTTGGATTGATTGCTTAAGAGGTAAGCTTTCGTGTCCTCGGTTTAGCCATTGTTTGTTCCACCATACCCCATGGGGGATGGTTTATATGCATGGTGTGTTTTCATGTATTGCTTTATTGAAATGCTTTTGAGCTGTTAAGTGAAAATGCCTTATGATATGTATGTGATGTTTCACCTAGACGGGTTAATGATCCTGCGGGCAGGTACGGCATGGGCGTGTACTAATGTGGGTTGTAGACGTACGTACATCCTGCATTCCTCTGGCCAGTAGAGTAGTTAACTCATATGACATGATTATTTGCTGCATTGCACTGATTTAGAACTTATATTGTTAAACTGCTTTTAGAACTTATATTGCACATGTAAGTGAGCTTGGGGTGGATAAATCTTTGAGGACCCCTTGCCTTACTGAGATTTTTGTTTAGAGATCTCACCCCACGTTTGGGGCGCTTATTTCAAGTTCAGGTAATACTGGGGTTGAGACCTCGGGCGGCAGGAGGCCGGAGCTTAGTTGATTGGTGCTTATTTGCTTATGCTGATTATGCTTGCATGCTAGATTATGTTTGTTGCTATTATGATATTAGCTTCTTTTTGTGGATTATTTTGCTGAGACTTTAATGGCTATATTTCCTTATTTGGTGAGCATGGGGATTGTCCATGCCACATTGGTTATGTTTTTTTACTTTGACTTCATATGTATAATGAACCAGGATATTCTCCGGACTACGTGTTGTAGATCCGTGAGTATATACACATCTATATTATGAGGTATTTCAGTTAGTTGTTGAATTGCTATTACATTACAAGCAGCATTTTGAAAAGGAACTAAGTAATCAACTTGGTTAATATTAATGACGTCATAATTGAACAGAAAAAGATATTCCGCATTTTTAAGCAAGCGTGGCTTAATACGATGACATGTTAACAAATCGGGTATACACGGGGTGTTACAAGGTCAGGCTTATGTAGGACCTGGCGGATAGGTTGGTTGGTCCTAACTACGATTGGGTGGCATTAAAAGATGACCTTAACCTTCGCGCGACGAAGATAAGCGTGAGGGAAACTTTCTCCACTTGTTGGTACCGGATTTCAGCTCCCTGCAAGATTTTGCTGATGAAGTAAACCGGTCTCTGTCCTTCGTCTTTGTATTCCTTGACTAGGGCCGCACTATTGGCTTCTATGCCCACGGCGAAGTATAAGTACAAGGTCTCTCCATTCTCTGGTTTGGTGAGGATTGGCGGGCATGACAGGACTCTTTTGAACTCCTGAAAGGCCCTTTCACACTCTTCGGTTCATTGGAAATTTGTTCCTTTCCTAAGCAGACTGAACAGGGGAAGGGATTTACGCGCCGAGTTTGCTAGGAAGCGCGTGAGGGCAACTATCCAACCAGTTAACTGTTGTACTTCTTTGACTGTTTGAGGGCTCTTCATGTTAGACATTGCCTTGCACTTGTCTGGGTTTACTTTAATGCCTCTCTCAGTAAGCATGAAACCCAGAAATTTTTCGGCTGGTACCCCGAAGGCACATTTGCTGGGGTTCAGCCTCATGTTGTATTCCCTTAACGTGTCGAACACGCTCTATAAGTGTTGGAGGTGTTGCTCGGGCGACCGTAACTTGGTGATCATGTCATCAATGTAAACTTCAATGATATCGCCAATCAACTCTTTGAACACTTTGTTCATCATCCTCTGGTAGGTGGCGTCGGCGTTCTTTAATCCAAAAGGCATCATCGTATAGCAATAATTGGCGTTATGAGTGATGAACGCCGTTTTATCTTCATCCTCCTCAAGCAATGGAATCTGATTGTAATTGGAATATGCATCCATGAAGGAGAGCATTTTGAAACCGAACGCATTGTCCACCAGTTGATCGATGCTTGGAAAGGGGTAAGCATCTTTGGGGCACACTTTGTTTAAATCAGTGTAGTCAACACACATTCTCCACGCCCCACTGGGCTTTTTCACCAAGACCGCGTTGGATAGCCAGGTTGTGTATTTTATTTCCCTAATAAAACCAGCATCATGGAGCCTTTCAACCTCTTCATCAATAATCTTTTGGCAATGAGGCCCAATTTCCTCTTTTTCTAGGTGACGGGCTTTGCCTTAGGGTCTAGACAGCCTGTGGCAACATACTGCAGGGTCAATTCCTGGCATGTCAGACGGCTTCCATGCGAACAGGTCTCTATTGTCTCTTAACAGCTTTATTAATTTTCAGTTTACTTCTGGCTCTATGGTCACCCTAATTGTCGTTATCTGCTGATCTGTGTCTCCCAGAATGACGTGTTCCAACGCTCCATCAGGCGTAGGTCTGGAGTGCTCTTCCCTTGGGTCGTCCCTTGCATCGAATTCCACTAGGAAGCATTGTTCATGTTCCTCCCCGTTCCAGTTAGAGTTCTTTTCAGTTACCTGTTTTACTTCCTGCTGGGGTGTTGGTTTGTCTCTGATGGTGACCTTTGAAGGCGGTCTGAGTGATATGTTATAGCAACTCCTAGCTAGTGTTTGGTCTCCTCAGATTGTTGCAACTTTGTTGTCCCTCACCACAAACTTTATCGCCAGGTGTGGGTGGGAGATGCTGGCTTCGAAGGCGGTGAACATTCTCCTTCCCAAGATGGCATTATAAGCAGAGGGTGTATCAAGCACTAGGAACTGGATGTCAGCAGACTTTGAAGTAGGTGGTGTACCCATAAACAACCGCAAGCTTATTACGCCCAGGGGTTTGGTAACAGTTACATTGAAACCAGATAACTCTCCTATAACAGGGCTCAAGTCACTGACTGTGAACCCCAACGCCCTGAAACAAGGTAAAAATAAAATGTCAGCAGAACTACCATGGTCAATGAAGACTCGATTTACGTCAAAATTGGCGATTATGGCTTGAATGACAAGGGGATCATCATGTCCAGGGATGACATCACCCAAGTCGTTGCTGTCCCACACAATATTTGGTTTTACAGGAGAGTGGGCATTCTTTGCTTTGCTTATGGTCTTCCCTGATATCGCCAAACACTGTTTGAGGTGCCTTTTCCTAGCGTTCGTTGTTTCTCCTCCTTCGCTTAAGCCTCTGGATATCATGTTTATGACGCCATGCTTGATTATTGTGGAATCTTCTGCTTCTCGGCGTTCTCGGCTGATGGGTCTATTCTGCTCTCTACGCGCTCTTGAAGGTTCTTCCCACTGATCCTACTCACAGCGAGGTCTATATTCGGTTCGGTCGGTCCTCCGTCTTTCGGGCGACAGGCTTCGTTCTGGGCGACGCCTCACATGACCAGTTTCCCGGGCAGGATTGTTGTATCTTTTGGATGCTCCTCCCTTAATCAACTCATCAATTTCCTCTTTGAGTGATCTACACTCTTCAGTGTTATGACTGTTACTGCAGTGGAATTTGCAGTATACGGTAGGGGTGGCAATACGGGTCAACCCGACCCGACCCGACCCGACACGACACGTTTTTGACCCGTACACTATTTGACACGACCCTGACACGACCCGTTTTGTAAACGGGTCGTAAAACACAAACCCTGACACGACCCGCTGCGGGTCACGGGTCGACACGACACGACCCGCAAAATTTAAAATTTAAAAAAAAAGTGGGATTTTTTGAAAAATAAATAAATTAAAATAAATAAAAAAGAAAAAAAGATTAAGCTTATGTTTTTTGAGATTTTTAGTTCCTTCTATTCTTTTCTATACTAAACAATGACTATATATATCAATATATAAATGAATAAAAATAATAATATAATAAAATATTTAATAAAAAAATAAAAAAATGACACTGTGCGGGTTGACACGCGAACCCGCGGGTTGACACGTGACCCGACACGAAAAAAACGGGTCATATTTACACAACCCTGACACGACCCGCCCTGACCCGCGGGTTGACACGACACGTGATTTGGCGGGTCGGGTCACGGGTCAACCCGCGGGTCAATACCTGTATTGCCACCCCTAGTATACGGTGGGCTCTCTGGATGCTTCATGGTGCTGGGGGTTGGTCTTGCGTTCGTCTTTGTAGTCGGTTTGCATCTGTGTGGTTGGCGTGGATAAGGTCCTCAACCTGTTAGGCGACCAGTATACCTGCCGGGGGGTTTATTGGTTTTTCTTTCTTCTTCATCTTGATCTCTGGTTTTGTTAGCCTTCTTATCTCGGTTGTGGCTGTCATCTATCCTACTTCCTTTGTATTCTTCTATCCTCATGAACTCCTGATCTTTCTTCTTGACTCCTTCTAAGTCAGTTCATATGCGAAAGCCCCTTGCCTCAGGCATGAAAAAGAATGTGCACTTGTACCTTGGGATCAAGACCTTGAACCAGCAAGGCCTCTTTGTCGAAACGAACTAGGAAGGATACGAGGGACTCTCCAGATTGTTGGCGAATTTTCTCAAGGGAATGGACAGACTTAGGCACTGGGCGACTTGTTGCGAATTGAGTTTGAAACTTGTTTGCTAAGTCATCCCAAGATGAGATACTTCCTGTTGGTAGACTGGTGTACCAGGCCAACGCTCTCCCGCCAAGGAGTGTAGGAAAAGTTCTGCACATGAGAAGGTTCGTCTCGCCATGAAGAGTCATCGCCGCTTCAGATTTTTGGACCTACTCAAAAGGGTCAGTGTTGCCAACAGAGGTGGTCATTTTTGTTGGACCTTTGAAGCCCAACGGTATAGGTGTGAGGCAGAGGTTGTCAATCAGGGGCGATCTATCTACGCTACTTGTCGCAAGTTGGGGGCCTCCCTCAATGCTTTATTTCTGGCATTATCCAACGATAACTGTGCATCAACGAACTGTAACACTGGTGGGAGAGTCGTAACAACTGCTTGATGGGCTGGAGCTGACTGTATGGATGGCAGGGGGTTGGAATGTACTGTTTGAGCCTGACCTTCGGGGGTGGTTGCTCTAGGTTGGTGTTCTTCTCGTAGTGACAGCCATGCTTCGTTTAAGATATAAGGTTTTTCCTTATATAGATCTTTTGGTAGGAGAGTGGGAATAGAAGTTTATAGCTTCCCACAGACGGCGCCAATGTATTGTTGGGATCTATAAGGCCACTATGTTCCCTTCAGGGATAAGAGTCATTGTATAGGTTATACCTCTAGCATAGGTAGAGACCAAGCTAGGAAGCACTATCCCAAGTATGAAGGCTAACTGACGATAATAGGGGTATGTGTTTGTGTGACTCAAGGATTATGAGCAGAATAATGATACATAAGATGCCCTCCCTGTCTTAAGAGGAGGGTATTTATACAGGAGGGAGGTCTCTGCCCTGAATGGTTGCTGAGAGAGGGTCAACCCTCCTTGGGGGCTGTTGGGGGTGGCTGACACTGCTATGATAGCAGTGATACAGTCTCTGCATCGGCGGTGTCAGCATCTAATGCTAGGGGTTACTATTTATGGTATCTGGGGCGACCTACTAGGGGGTTGAAATCCCAAGGTGAGACATTTTGGTGTGTCACCTAGGGGCATAGTCGCCCAGGGAACAGGATGGATGGAGGGTTGGTAGCGGTAAGTCAGCAAGGCTGACGTGGGAGAAGAGAAAGGGGTTTGGGCCCAAGTCGTTGGGCCGCCTAGAAGTGGGCCATCCGGAACAAGTGCAACAGATAAATCACCGTTTTAATATGCTTTTTCATGTCTTCTTATTTATGTTTCTATTTAGTCTATTAAAATCAAAGTGTTGAGAAGCTTCGAATTGTGATCATATAATATAAAATATATATATATATATATATATATATATATATATATATATATATATATATATATATTTGGATAAAAAATAATTATAAATTATGTGTGATAAAATTATTTTATTTCCTTGTTTCATAGAATGAACCATTCATTAGTTCAGGAACAAAAATTTCAAAAAATATATTTTTTAACTTCTTCATTTTGGACACTAAAATAGAAAAAATATATTTTTCTTAAAAAATAAGACAAATAATAAAATAATAATTATGCACATCCTAATAAACATGGTCAAACCTACCTTTTGCATTTGCAATAAAAATTATAACTCAAATATTTTCTTAATTGCATATTCAAAATTGATTTTCATTAAAATATTCAAATAATATATATTTTATTTTTGACTAAAATTAATTTTATTCAAAATGAAGTTCTCATGTTATAAACTTGAACTCATGTAAGGGGAATTCTACTACGTAACATAAGCACACACAAACTATATATAAGTGGAGTGCAGGCCTCTCTATATGATGAGCTCACTGCTGTTTTCTGGAGCCCAAATCATGGGCTTTGGTTGCTTGATAGAGTGGGTCATTGACCTACATCCATAATAGGCAATAACATAATCCTGAATTTTACTTAGAAAATAAATGGGTAATACTTACTATATTGACCACATTATCCTTACCTTTAGGTAATGTAACATAAAAATATAATTAACTCACTTATTTAATAATTACATAAGTTAAGCACTATAATTACTATATAATTGAGTTAACTATACTTTATCACATCAATTGAGGATTACCTCTTTAGAGATACTGTAGTTATTCCCCAAAATAAATATCATGAGAAGATAGAAGTCAATTCGTTGGTGCTAGATTAAGAAATAAAAAGGGAGGAGAAGTTTCCTCCTGTTTTTCTGAGGAGGACTCTGGATAGAAATAAAGGGAGGGATTGAATCATCAGGCTTTCTTAAAAAAGTTTTGACCTGAAAGTTCATATTAAGAAATTAAGTTAGGAAATACAAACTATAAAGCTCAAATAAATAGTATAAGTCTACCATGATAGGGCAGTGCACCCGATAGTGAGAGAAGAAGAAAGTTATGTCATGATGGGCCAGTCCAATTTAGCCCACCTCAATTGTTTGACTTTTGATGTCTACCATTAAACCACACTAAGAAATTAGGAAGAAAAAAATAAAATAAAATAAAAGAAGGTTTAATATTTTTATAGGAGATAATTTTATTTTTACATATACATAAAAATATATACGGCCATGTACAGAGAAGAGAGAGAAAATAAAAACATGATTTTATTTGGTGGGTCCCACACTTTGTTGGGTCTGCAGAACAACTTTATATTCTCCTACTACAAGAGAATTATCAACCCCTTTTATAATTTTACTTTTAGGTCCTCAAATCAATGTTATTAAACTCGGTCTGGTTGTTGACCCGATCAAGGTACTGAGTCACTGGTTGAACCGCATGACTCAATCAATTTATGCACGTTTATAATTTATATTAAAAAAATTATAAACATACTTAAATACCTGTAAAAAATAATATCAATTTCAAATATTCTAACTTTATTAGTAATAAACATCACGTTTCGTATTAATAATAATAATAATATCACGTTTCAAATACAATTTGACATAATAAACTCTTCAAAAGCACTCTAGCTTAGCAAACTACTCATTCCACTTTCCAAGACAATATAATAATACAATATTGTAAATTTCACACATTCCACTTTCCAAGACAACATAATAAATGCAATACTGTAAATGCAAACTCATCATATTCCCACGTTTCGTTTTTATCACAGTGTTGTTTATCTACTTTTTACCATAGTTGTCACTGTCGCCATGGCCTCAACAAGTTCATGCATCACCACCGTCCATTATGATATCATTCAGGCTCACCTCCCCACCCGCCTCGTTGGTACAACGCTCACCTCCACCACCTCTGCACCGACCAGGATCTCTGGCAAGACATCTATACCGCCATGTGGCCTTCCCTGGTTGACCACATTGCCTGCCAAGTCATCTTTGCCATCCCCAGCAGCCACCAATCCATTTTCTCCAATGGTTTCTCTTCCCTTATGTTATCTATTTTTGACTCAGCAAGTCACTGATTTTAGTTAGACCGGCCGATTCATTCCCATTCATACCAGGTCACACCAATTTGTTTGTATGTCCAATCCATTACTCTAGCCAAACCAAGTCACCACCAGTTTACTAAACCCTAAACCAGTTTTCGGTTCGAACCGACTGATCCGGTCCAGGTTTTATAACAATGCCTCAAATAGACAAATATCTTACACCGCCCTTGAATAAGACCGCGATCCAAACCTCCCGACCACTCCAATAAGCAAAATCATTAATCTTAAAAGGGCATCCTGACCATAAAATAAAAAAGCCCTTGTGCCATGCAAGCATGGTTTCAAAAACATTATTTGAAATCAAAAATACCACACGGCAAACCCAACGAAATTAATATCTACCTTCAATATGTAAGAGGGGCAAGAATGACGAGAAAAAGGTCATTACATCAGTGAACATTGTCCAACTGAACCAAATAAAAAATTGAAAGAGAATGGAACATTCAAATTTATCATCCTTTTGCAAGCACTAATGTGATAATGTAACATTTAAATATTACACTATAAATGTGGCTAATGGCAACTAAAGCAAACATTAATCCTTATGTTTTCTTCTCTTTGATTTTCCTCCATCAGAGGACAGAGAGGAAATGCCAGTGCTATGACCATGATGTTTTGCATTAGATTTGTCCTGATTAAATGGGTCGACTGATTTAGAGCTTTTTGGAATATTTGATGGCTCACTAACTTCAGATAAAGAGCTTTTCTGTCTGCTACCTTTTGACGATTGTGTGCTTCGATGATTACCACTTTGCATAGGAAAATATCGGGACGAAGTTGTCACTGTGACTCCCGCAGAATTTCGATGTGCTTGTCTTGAGTTGGTTGAATTGAGCTTTTCAAGTTCTTTAGGATCAGGGTAATGAACAACAGAAATTCGCTGCGAAATCTTTCCAGCTGTAGAGAGGATTGAGATAAATTATTTATTTTAGTGCTTAACTCAAATAGAGTTAAAAACCCATAAGAAAATTAGAAGTACCATGATAGACAACAATCATAAGAATCAGATTCTTGTGAGACAACATGGCAAGAAAAGTGGTCAATTACAGCAAGGGAAAATCCAATCCAATATAATCTTCAAAAAAAAAAGGATAAAAATTGAAAATGAATAAAGAACATAGTGTTTCTAAAAAACATGACTAAAGAGAAAAAGATACTGGTCAATTTCACAACTATATTTAATCGCTACAGTAAAGCTTGCAAGAATATTGGATTTATACACAGTTTATATATGAAAAACAACATGGAAAGAATGAATTGAACGAAAATATTCAAGCCTCCGATCAAGGTTTCTTGGAGGAAAATACAAGACCACCTCTACCCATGGAAAGAATGAATTGAACGAAAATATTGGACCACCTCTACCCATTTAAATCAAACTCTTTCAACTTTTCTCGCTAGAACCTCCATCAATTCGTCACACATGACCAAACCAACAAAGACAAATTTCCATCATCTCAATAAATGATACTTGATTTATCTTTCCTTATATATCCATTCAACATGCTCATCTGCACCATGCTTACTTTTTGCTCTTGTTGGCAATTCAATTCTTATTAGAGAAGTTACACCAGTAACTTACAGAGCTGTATGCTGCTGCTGATTATTACAGCTGTATCTCAAGGTTTCTGTTAAGTTCTGATAGTTGTTGAAACTGTAATTCAGATAGGATCTGCTCTCTATTACAGATCTGGTAGAACTATGTTAAGAGTTGTTGAGGTCTGTTACCTTGCCCTGCAAGCCCCTATTGTATCTTGATAAATTCATCTCTGATGATAAAGAGATGGTTTAATTTATGTAATAAGATCATGAGGATCTTTTCAGAGAAATAGCTTCTTTCTTTTTCACATCCCTCTTTTTCTTTTCCTGCACCTCTTCACTTTCTCAATGATGGTATCAAAGCCCTCTAAAGGACCTCAACCACCAGCTTCTGTGGCTTCTGCACAGAAAACATCTTCAGCTGCTAGTGATTCTTCTACTGCAACAACACAATTTCATCATTGGATGCCACTCGCAGCAAGAACAGTCCAGTTCTCTTTTCTCATTTGATAGCAGTGAAACTCAATGAAAATAATTATCTTCTATGCCGGTAACCAAGGCTCATCATCTCAATTGTTTCATAGTAAATCCGCAGATTCCTTTTCGTTTTGCTACCGAAGAAGACAGAGGTGCAAATTGAGGCATTGATGCCTTTGCAGAGGAAGAGCAGGACCAAATGTTATTCTCCTGGCTCTTGTCTTCATTGTCAGAGACTATGCACACTAGGATCGTAGGTTGTGTGCATTCCTGGCAGATTTGGGAGAAAATTCACAAGCATTTTCACTTGAAAATGACTGCAAGATCCAGACAACTGTGATCTGAATTACGGAGTATGAAGAAAGGTAACAGAACCATTTCAGAATACCTTCTGCAATTGAAAACTCTTGCAGACTCTGTTGTCTATAGGAGATCTAATTAGAGAGAGAGATCATGTTGACTACATTCATGACAGACTGTCAGAAGCGTACAACGCATTTGTAACCTCAATCAACAGCAGAGAGAATCCCTGCTCAGTGGACGAACTTGACTCTACTCCTTGCTCATGAAGCACAAATTGATAAGTACAGAAGCTCCTCATTATTAGACACCTTTTCTGTGAATATGACCCACACTTCTGCTTGCAATAGTCAGATCTAGTCTAAATTGGCACCTACTCCAGCACCTCAAGCTCAATCTTCGTCTTATCAGACTTTTGATCAACTGCAATGGCAGTTTCAATCTGAGCCTGGGTATGATGGCTTTGGATTTGCACAGGTGAATGGTGCTGAGTATGGTTATGGTCGTGGATACCTTGGAGGTTGCAATGGTTTGTGGTCAATCTGGCTGTTAGAATATATTAAATATGATTAGATATGATTAGTCTGTAATTATTATGATTAGATATGATTAGTCTGTAATTAATTCTGATTGTATTAGGTTTGTATTAGGTCTGGGCCTTTCACTTAAGCCCATTAGAGTCTCTATATATTGTAACCCTCTAAATTAGATCAATACACAACATATTATTTTATAATCAAGTTGGTATCAGAGCTCTTTTGTTCTGAGGACCCTCGCTTCCGCTTAGAAACCTTGTTTTTGCTTTAAAACCTAAGCCCACTGCTTAGGAGTCCTCTTTCTTTTCCGTGCGTCCTTCCGGCAAGCCATCTAGGGCTGTAAACAGCTTTTGAGTAATTTTCCAAACGCGTCAGCACCGTCGACGGCCACCGGAACCACCGTCCGCCACTAGGACCACTGTTCAGGCCACCGGAGACGTTTTTCCGGCGACTTTTCAGACCAGACGTCACGCGATCAGGACCGTCTCCTCCCAGCGATCAAGTCTGTGGAGGTCCGGTCACCAACGCATCCCTCACGCGCCGTCACGCGCCGCCCACCTACTCTGCACGTGGGCCTCACGCGCCACCTTCTACCGGCGCGTGTGCACTACTCCGGAGGCTTTTTCCGGCCGGTCTTGGACAGAGAAGCTCGCCTTCTCCTCCCCTTTCTGGATCTGTGATTGTTTCTCTGTGGATCTGACTTTAGACGCGTGGTTCTCCTTGATTGGATGTCGTTTGCCTTCGTTTACGGCTTTTATATTTTATCTTTAAATGGCAGCAGCATCTCTTGATCTCTCGGAGGTTAACTCTCCTTCTATTGTTGCAAATATAGCTCAGTCAGACAATGCATCATTTGGTTCAGGTTCGGACTATGCTGCACTCCAAACTCCTCTCAGGAAGGCTTCTCCTCAGTCTCAGCCTTATACTGGTAATCCTGTTGCTTGTGTTTCTCATTCTACATCACTTGACTCTTGGATATTTGACTCTGGTGCTACCGATCATCTCTGTGGTAATAAGGAACTTTTTACATCTCTTACTTATTCTGATCATTTACCGTCTTTTACCCTTGCGGATGGAACCAAAGCTCCAGCTCGTGGGATTGGACAAGCTCGTCCGACCTCTACCTTGGCCCTGACATCTGTCTATTACATTCCTGGCATCCCTTATAACTTAATTTCTATTAGTAAGTTGATCCACTCCCTCACTTGCATCATTACTTTCTCTAACCATTCTGAATCTGTGCAAGATCCGGGTACGGGGAAAATGATTGGAGTGGGTCGTGAGTCACGGGGGCTTTATTATCTAGATGTGCCTCGTCCTTCAGTAGCATGTTCTCTCACAGAATCTCCACAACTTATCCACAGTCGCCTTGGTCATCCAAGTCTTTCAAAGTTGCAGAAAATGGTTCCTTTTTGTCCGGTCTTCAGTCTTTAGATTGTGTGTCATGTCAACAAGGGAAGCATACACGCTCCTCTTTTGCCAGTTGAGTCAATAAACGAGCTGATGCCCCTTTCTCTCTTGTTCATTCAGATATCTGGGGTCCAAGTCGTACCTTGTCTGTCTTAGGTTTTCGGTATTTCGTTACCTTTATTGATGATTTTTCCCGTTGCACTTGGACCTATTTAATGAAAAATCGCTCTGAGTTATTTTCCATTTATAAAAAGTTTTCTACTGAGATCCATACTCAATTTGGTGTTTCTATTCGTATTCTACGTAGTGATAATGCTAAGGAATATGTTTCTATTGATTTTTCTAATTTCTTGGCCACACAAGGTACTTTACATCAAACTACTTGTCCTCACACTCCACAACAAAATGGGGTGGCTGAACGTAAAATCAGACATCTCATTGAAGTTGCCCGTACCCTTCTTATTCAAATGCAGGTTCCCCTTCACTTCTGGGCAGATGCTGTACTTATCTCTTGTTTTCTCATCAATCGCACGCCTTCATCTGTGCTCAACAATGACATTCCTCATAATCTATTGCTTCCAGATGTTCCTCTTTATCCTCTAACTCCACATGTCTTTGGTTGTACTTGTTTTGTTCATAATCTCACTCCTGATAAGGATAAGTTAACATCCAAAGCCTTTCAGTGTATCTTTCTTGGTTATTCTCGTCTTCAAAAGGGTTATCGTTGTTATTCTCCTGACCTTAAGCGTTACTTAGTTTCCGCTTATGTCACTTTTCTTGATCAACAACCCTTTAATTCTATCCCATCTCAGTTGTCACAGGTTGATCATGTACTTCCTATCCCTTTTCTTGACTTGTCTTTGCCAGCTGCAGGTGCTTCTATTCCAGATGAGCAACCTATTGCTTCTATACCTAAGGACCGTCCACTTCTCACCTATCAGCGTCGCAAAACTATGCCTCCTGTCGACTCGACTCTTGCTGACTCATCGCCCACTACTGTTGCTTCTTCCCCTCCGGATCCTTCATCAGAGACTCTTCCCATTACTCAAAGAAAAGGTACACGTACTACTCGTAACCCTTATCCTCTTTATACCTTTTTGAGCTATGAGCGTCTTTCTTCACCTCATTTCACCTTTGTTTCTAGTCTTTCTTCTATTTCTATTCCTAAGACCACAGGTGAAGCACTTTCCCATCCAGGGTGGCGCCAAGCAATGCTTGATGAGATGACTGCACTTCATTCCAATGGCACTTGGGACCTTGTTTCTGCTCCTCCAGAGAAGTCTATAGTTGGTTGTCGTTGGGTTTTTACTGTGAAAGTTGGACCTGATGGCCATATTGATTGTCTCAAGGCACGTTTAGTTGCCAAGGGTTTTACTCAAATCTTTGGCCTTGATTATAGCGATACATTTTCTCCGGTGGCTAAGATGGCATCAGTCCGCCTCTTTCTTTCCCTTTCTTCATGTTTCTAGTCTTTCTAGTCTTTCCCTTGCTACTATTCCCCTGACCTTAAGCGTTACTTAGTTTCCGCTTATGTCACTTTTCTTGATCAACAACCCTTTAATTCTATCCCATCTCAGTTGTCACAGGTTGATCATGTACTTCCTGTCCCTTTTCTTGACTTGTCTTTTCCAGCTG